TATATATATATATATAAAATTCATTTACTGCACCACATTATTATACAACCTCACCTCATCGATAAGCTAATGAACAACAAAAAATTTTTCGAACAAGTAAACCTCCCTAGTGCCTTTTGTTTTGCTTTTGATCATTATAAACTCTGATAAACACATTTTTTAGAACAAAGATTTCGGACGAGAAGGACGAACCCAAAGAAAGAGTAGCACAAATATTATGACGCCAATTCACACCAATAACAGAACGAGCATTTTTTTCCAACCGACGTAATAAAATATCATTATCGCCTAATTTTTCGATTCGATCACTAACATCCTGGCAAATAAAAATAACAATAGTTCATGTGAAAATTCCAAAAATTTGTGAACTCAGGAAAAAAAACAGATTTGAAATCAGCATAACACTCCTACTAATAATGCTTGTAATATTACTACACTTAAAGGAATATTTTATGTTCTTGGCAAGTAAACAATTGTCTAGTTCTTTAATGTTATAAAAGCAGTTTTATGTTACATTCTAAAGAAAACGAATCATAATGAAATTATGATACAATATTTAAAAAATTTCTGGAAAAATTTACGAACAAAAATAAAATCTAGTAAATGAGATTAAAAGCCATTAAATCACCATGAAAAATTGAAGTTGACGTCCTCTGCTCCAAAAAAAAGGATGCACTACCAAAGCAGCTGATGTCGGACGAAGAAGAGGATCTGCTCGTATCATCAATTCGATCAGTTCAATAGCCAACAAATTAACTGAAAAAATCACTTTTGAAAAAAGAAAATGAGAAGAAAGAACATTTGGTTCTCCAATAACCATAAATTTGCTTCAGCCCTGCGTATGAAGCAGATGCACAACATGAAATCTCGAGCAAAATGTGAACCTGAAGAATTCACATCTAACGAATCCAAATTATAATCTCCTTGGATGATATTTGCTTGTCGTTTTAATGGGTCTCCAAATGGATGAGTTCCATTTGCAAGCACATAATAATAAATACAACCAAGCGAGAAAACGTCAACTGCACAAGTCTAAACATTGATAAATGAAAATGAACAATAAAAAGATGATTTAAAAAAACTAAGTAATCCTTATTAAATCTGAGAGATGTCCTTATTAAATTTGAAATCGCCCATCGAGGATCTAAGAAAAAGATGAACTTAAATCGAAATTTCTAGCGACAAAATTAGATGAATTTTCCTTACAGTTTTTATAATTTTAGTATGTAGGAGTGAAAGATAACAATGCAGTTTGACATCAATCCACATATTTTGGTCACTTCTAAATCTATGAAGAAACTAATAATGTATATAAGAAATTTTTAGGTATTTTTTCAGCCTATAACTGTTTTTATTAGTAGCAGTCGTACTTCGAGATCCACGAAAATGAACTTATATCAAAATTTTTAGCAACAAAAAGAGATTGCAGTAAAGTATACTTACGATACTTGTATCAGACATTAAAGCTTCGGGTGCGACCCAACCATCAGTACCCATCACACCAGATCTGCGCGACAATGAATTACGACCTGCTTTAAGTCGTTTACATAAACCAAAATCCGAAATTAATGCCCGTATAGTATTCTGCATTGTACTTTTTGATATCAGCACATTTTGTGGTTTCATATCACGATGAACTAGAATAAATAATAGTTAGATACCATCGATTTTGAAAGTAAAGTTATAATGCTTGAATATCCATTTTGTTCAAGAAGCAACAAAATACAGACTGGTGAAAAAATTAATAAATAGCGGCACATAAAGATATTCGAACAAATAATTATCATTAATCATTGTCCATATTTGATAAAATAACTTTCATTTATAATTTGCCATAAAAAGACTGCCAACACTTTCTTCTACTTCAGTACATTTCATAAATTAAAAAAACAAAAAACAAACCTATATTTATAGTATGGAGATAAGCCAGCCCTTCAGTTGCCTGTAATAGAATCTCCATAGCACTAAGTGGACAGCACTTTCGGATCTCTGCGCTATCAACGTAATCATATAATGAATAATCGCATAGCTCAAGAGCAATATATCGAAAATTGCTATCACATTCCTGAGGAAAATAACGGTCGTTTGAAAAAATTAACTTCTTTTTTATAATCCATCACTTACTTTAAATGTTATCTAGCGACAAAAAATATGAAATGTAAGAAAGTGCCCAGGAAAAAACTACCATGCAAAAATATCTAATCACATTTGGATGAACATCACTTTCACGTAAAAGATCAACTTCACGATCAGCAAGTTGGATATCTGCAATGACACGCTTTACTGCTACTTCTCGACCATCAAATTTTCCTCTAAAACTTGAAAAACATTTATTAATCTGTTTATTCATATGATTGCTATGTCTCTAAACAATATTTGGAACTATAGACGATACAGAAGTATTGTAACTAAAAAGGACCAGCGTTCAAAAAATTAAGATGGAAATACGTGAACTAATGAAACACTGAACATTATCATAACATACTGACACTAACCAATAATATTATCATTACAATATATACTATGTAAATACTATGGCTAGAGCATAAAAGTGAGCCCAAATAATAACTATTTGTGAAGTACAGAACCAAATCAGTAATATCATATTTGTAAGTATTTACCATATGGAGGTAAAAATCTCGAATACTGCCAATGAAAACTTTACGAAAAAAAATTACCTAAACACGACAGTTCCTTCACATCCATATCCAAGACGATCGTAAGGATTGTATGTAATTTTTCCAGCTTGCAACCACCCATCTGCTAATTCTTGATTTTGACGCGCATACCAGATACTGGAATGACTTTTAGATGTTTGCGCATAACTTGCCCGTTGGGCTAGCAGTTTTCCTTTCCTGTGATTACGTAACTGCAAATAGAGTTTGAAACATTGTATGAGAGAAAAAATAGTACTAAAGCAAAAACGAAATCAAAACAGACGCAGTTTATGTAAAAGAAACAAACGATGTGATCAAAATATTCATAACTTCATTCGACCTAAAATCAAGTTCTGAGTAATTCTGAACCTATTTTAATGATGCCACGATTACAAACTAACACAAGAGACTTTTTTCGTTCTTATGATGCATAAAACAAAGTAGTTAAGTGGTAAATAAAACAGAAAATATGTTCAAAAAATGCATACGAACCTTTTGCATACAAAACCAACAGCTAACAGAAAAGATTATTACAGTTGACAAAGCAGCGATAATTATCTCCACTTTATTAGTTTTCCACAAACTATACGATCCAGGCTCTTTATAGTAGTTAATTTTTGAGGTTTCAACTGTGAACTAAATATAAACATTTTTTAAATTAACTATACAGTGGCTACGTTTTTTTATTTTCTGATCGAGCGATATTTAGTCGCTGCAATAACCTTAATCTCAATAGTTATTAGTGAACACGCACAGCACCTCACATCACATTGTTTCCAAATCAAAAACGAAAATAAAAACTAAGGCATGTCGAGCTTTTTATGATTTACTTTGCTATCAGTTTAAATATGATAAAAAAATAAAACACACCTCATGAGATTGTATATCTGCTGTCACGAATGATAAAGATCGATATCGTTTATGATGATCAAATTTATGTGGAACAACAAACTCTGATCGAGCTAACTGTGGTGGTTCATGATAACCTGTGTAGAAGGAAAAAAATAGATATTCAATGTCAAAATTATGTCAAACTGAAGAGTGCACAAAAGCAATTAAAGCGTCAAATTAATGGGTTAAAAGATAGGTTACAATATTTTTCACAAAACTTGCCTACTTAAATCGAAATTATGAATAAAGCCAATATGACTTTTTTTTTTCGAATAACAAATGTGTATAAAAACTAATACTAATAATATCATCTACCTCAATCAGTCACACACAACTCAACTCATACCTAACGCCAGAAATTCTCTATTGACCACCTCCTGATTTCTTTCTCCCAAATGTAGATCAATCAAAGCTCCAGACCGAGCTGAAGAAATAATAGCTGGTTCCAGGCCACGATTCTAAAAAATCCCTGGGCTATTTCAAACCCTATCTAACAAATTTTTATAGAGAACTCCTTGATCAGATTCAGAAGAAATTTCAACTTTCGTTCAATAACAATTACATTTTCAACAAAATGCATGATTTCAGATTACCAAGAAGTACAGCTAACCACTGCTGCAACAGATGGACCTTCCAATAGCGGAGGACCAATATAATTCGGAATTACAGTAACTGTACGACTATCTACGAAAGCTGGCATTGCAAACAGCCCAAAAATACTTTCGCCAACATATAATGTTGGAAACAAATGACGGGGTGTACTTTCCGCAGATTGTGATCGGTAGACGTCATTAATCAACGTCTTAACACCAATTTGACCAGTATCCTAAAAAAACTGTTTTTGTTAGAACAAATTTATTTCGTTTTAGCGGCTTATTTATTTACTACCTAGCAATTATTTTACATTATATACAGCGAAAAAATTGAACAAAATCATACTTTGTGATAATAAGTAAAACTTATGATTTCAAAATTTAAATTAACTTTTTCTGGTTGTGAGCTAAATTTTGCAGGCTTTACGAATAGAAAAAAAACTTGTAAATCATCCATTCGATAACATTTATTTCTTGAAATTAAAAGGAAAATCTATAGATGAGAATATGATGGATGTTCGTTTCTTTGACTGATTTACTGAGGTGAGAGAAGAAAATGCTACTCCTCTTTCTTAAATCATCATGTAAATATAATAAAACGATTGTTAACGCTTTAGTCATTATCAGCTGTATGTGAGTGTGTATGCCACAGACGAAAATTACCCTAGACTTAGATTTCAAATATCCTTGAATTTCATCTTTCAGCAGTCACTTATTTCTTTCCCAGAAGAAGCGTCAATCGGTTGCTTGCTAACCAACTGTGATTGTTGAAATTTTTAAGCGCAATTGTTAAAAAATTCTTTCAACATGCAATCATCTACTATATTTCCAACACTCCCACTGTCTATTTTTTTATCTACACCGCTATTTTCATTTGTATCATAATTAAGACTGATAGTATTCTACAATGGTAATTTATTCTACTGAATCTCACAAATAAATTTCCTCAATCTGTTTGATTATGACTGAAGAAGTGCTAAAGGGGATATCTTTTTTCATTATTCCCAGCTAATAGAGAAATCACTTTAGCACATTCCTGCAAACAGCAATTGCTTTTCAAGTTGAACTGAGCAATCCACAAGTGGCTGTTACATTGAAGGTTAGTTGCGTACTACAATAGAAGTACATTTATCTCACCGTTTTTTCTCTTTTACACTGTTTACATTACTCATCCTCTTTCTTTAACACCGACATTTCAGTTTTTTTATTACTTCAGAAATAACAAGGCAAATACAGAAAAATGTGAATTTTTCAAATTAAATAATCTTTTCAAAACTTATTTTACGTTTGCTATTGATTAATGGAAAAAATCTCCATATAAACAGCCTAGTATGAAGCAATTCCAATCAGAATATCCAAATACTTCACAGCAATCAAACAGCAGTTGTTTGGAGGGGAAGATATTTTCTTTTTTTACAGATCTTTTTATATTTCCATTAATATTCCGAATTTTGCATCACTCAAAAACAATGACTATCGAAAACTTTATATCACGCAGTAAACGACAGACGTTGGCGCAGACAGCATACTTCGCTACCAAATTATAGTTAGCAAGAAGAAGGAAAAGAATTTATGCAGTTTCTTTACAAAAAAAAAGAAAAACGCAATATTTATTGTTTCCACTAGTCTCAGTTTTAAAATCGTCATTTTACAAAACTTCCCATTTTTCATCTTACGAAATGGGATTTTTTTAACTCACAAATCTCAGGATTTTGACCAGCAGCTAAATTTCAACATTTTTGCAATAATCTTTTCACCAACTAATTCCATTCTTACTTGTTCTACAATGCAAACTAAAGCACCGCACCTACTTTTATCTTTTCTCACCACAAGTTTCCCTACTTTCACTCCATCAAACGATTCCATGCTTATGCAAGACCTGTTTCTTACCACACCATTTACATTTAAATCATACCATGACTAAGCACAAAGCATTCAAAATCCTTTAAACTTCCATCCCAATATAAATGTACTACTTATGCATCACTAAATCCATAACTAATCCAAAATTTTCCTTCTCTTTTTGTTTAATCTAAAATATTTTACTGAAAAGTGCGAAATTCATCACATAATAATATTTAATGAAATTCACTTCTTTCAAAACTCAACATGACACTACAAGCTTAATATTAAAATGCAATAAAAAGCAGTGTCGCGTCCAGATTTACTATAGAGAGAGAATTATGCAAACGAAATGATAACAAAAATTCGAGCATAAATACAATACATTCAAGTATTATTGGACACGCAGCCAAATTATATTAGAAAAGTTCTACACAGAGTAACCAATTAAAATTTTATACGGCGAGGATCCATTTACAAAGAAATGGCTTGAATCATCTACGGAAAATATCCCGAGGCAATGGTACGTTAATAGAATTGGCAGTTTTTTTTTTTTTTTTCACTCCTGTAATTGCAAAAAACGTTGGAATGCTGAAATGGTAATTGCCAATATTTAGCGCTGATATATTCCCAAGATCCTAGCATCAATGAATTATCAAAGATGAAATATAATTACTTATATTTATAGCAGTTTCTATCAAATACTCGTAAAACGAGTCCAAAATGACTACAAAGCTAATGGTAGCAAATTTAAAGTATGACAAATGAAAAGCAACAAATCGCACCACACTTTCAAGGAGCCAAATACTAATGATATATATGAGGTCATCAAATATGCGGAAAAAAAGTAAATTAACTTGGCAAAGTAGTGAAAACAGAAGGCGTTAACCAATGATTAGCGGCTTTTGCAAGTTTGTCTGACAGGAAAAGACTAATTTCTTTGAAATTAATTTTCAACAGATTGATTCTTGCACTTATTTATTCAATTCCTGTGCTCCTCTATTCTCCATTTATCTGTTTAATAATTTTATTTTTTTAATCTTCAAACTACACCTGCATAACAGGTCTAGCCTATTTCTGTGTCAAATTATACAATTACTCAGACCATGCAAAACATCTAATTAACTACTCTTCAAATCAAATGAGAAAAAATTCCCATCTAGATAGCCTCAATAATTAGCATCATCACAAAATGTTAGCTATATTCTTGAAAAAACACTGCTAACTAGATGGTAAATAAGACACAGAAAGAATTAGAACACAGAGTATATTTGAAACAAACAGATCACAATACCACCAATAGTTTTAGTCCGTCACAAAAAATGTATATTTGGAAAGTTTCAGGTAAGGACACTTACGTTTTCCCCACTTGAAATAATTTGCGATAAAACCTGTCCATCAGAAACAGATCACCGCATCACGTAAACAACCAATGCATCAACAACATTCCTCTTTACATATCAATAAATCTTGACATCACCACTGCATGCCAAGCTTTTTTCTTAGCATATTGCAAATGAACTTTTCTGCTTCCAAAACTAATTTCTCGAAAGGTTATTTTAAATATTAGCAAGAAACAAATATCACAATAAACGCTGTTTACTACCAAATACTTCCAAGCAATGTTAATTATTGTAACTAAATTACAGTATCTACTCATTTAAGGTTGTATCTTTTAAGAGTGCACTTGCACATCACACGACCTGAAACTCAAAAAACATCACATAATTTGCATTATGCACAATCTGTTACTGTTGGTTACCAGGAAAGGCCCAAATGAACACAAAATGCCCGCCATACAGTTATCAGTCTACCTAAGCCACTCTAACAGAAAAAAGACAACAACAAATCGATAAGCGGAGAAAGTGAACTAAGCTGTAATTAATGGAGAGAAAAACTTTCAAAAAGTAAAAGCAAATAGAAGTTAAGGCATTCCTAGGCGTGAGCAAATGTGTGTGTATATTTCGAACACCCTCCGGTCTGTTACTTTCACCATTACCATCAGAACTTCCCATCATCGCTCAGTGCTTCAAGAAATAGCCTTAGGCAATCTTTCCTCACTGAACACTTGCGCCAAGTACTGTCGGAACCATTTCCTTCATTACTTAATATTTATTTGCATTTTTTACTTTTACTCACATGAATAATCCGATTTGCAAATATCTTGCAATATTATAATTCCTAAAATATTTATGATCAGTCTGATTCTCATTCACGTGATCTATACTACCTGTAAATAAGCATCTAAAACCGTTCTTTTGCAAGTTTACTACTCAATAAAACCTTCTACTTTCTGAGAGGACGAAAGGAGTCTACTGAAGCTCCTTAGTAATGACGCTTTGTTGGCAAATCTAAAAAAAATTTGTAACTCGGACCTTCTTTTTCTCAAAAAACCACAAACAAAAACTTTTTTCATTTTCTGAATCTATTAAATTTTTAACCGTTTACACGTGATACTTGTAAAACTTGCCTTATATTTGCTTTACGGATTATTATTAGTTAAGAAAACCTTTCTTCTCATGTTTATAAATATTTACAAGAAAAGCATTCATCCACTACATCTCCATGCTTCAACGATTACAAAAAGAGATGCAAAATAATGCCGAAAAATGGTTTAGTAGGTAGCTTACTCTACATGCTTAAATTATCGCAACACTTTATTATAAGTAATTTTTGGTTTAGTTACGGAAACTTAAAAATAAGTAAATGAGAGCGATATAGTTTGTTTGCAATTTTGTTCTATCTTTTCAGGTCTTTATGTTTTTCAAGCCCAAAGATTAACATCGCAAATTTTCCAAATATATGTGATTTTTCTAACATTCCCTATTCACTACCCCAATTGCCATATAACTAACTGATAAGAGAATGCAAACTGAATTAATTAAACCTTTTCAAAACCTAACTCCGATCAATTCTCACAAGTTGTAACATTCAGATGCAATCTTCTGAGGAATAAACAAATAATTAATCCACCTCAGCATTTGCTTGAAATGATTTAATTAGTTAGAACGAAGCAGTATAGCATTTTCCTCGCATTTATTTATCAACTACGGTTTGAATCATTAGCTAGCTCAAGAAATGTAATCAAAAAAAACAATGTACTTACAAAATTGATTGAGCACCATTCGGTTATGCTATTGGCGTATTTACTAATCTTTCTTCATTTACTTCATACACGTAACATTAAATTTTCGCATAATTTGTGATCACTCATTCGCATTGCTGTTGAAATATCATTACCGATAACATTTGATATAATTTGCAAATAACAATATTAACTAATGACTAACGCCATAAAATCAAAACGATGAGCAAACTAAAGTGTTAACTGCTCTTTGTATTTACATTAAAGCTCTAAAACATGAGCTTTCATCAGTCTACTATCTTATACTTAATATAACAATAATTACAGTACCGTTTCGAATAATATGTAATTACAACAGCGTAAAAGATTAAATGGTATAGAGTAGAG